TATCTTTATTTATAACAATCTATTCAATGCTTAATTTATTTGAAATTATCAAGTCAAACCTTGGTAATGATACATTTAACATAATAGGATCAGAATTACAAAGTTTAACATTAGTTGCAGAGAAATTAACAGAAGTATTACAAACTGACTGAATGTGTCCAATTTTACCTCACTTAAAGCATTTAGCACTACGAAATACACATGAAATACATGGGTGAAATTTGCTACAGAACAAGGATTTACCAAACTTGTGCTCATCCTCGTAAAATGCATCTCAACTCTGCAATGAATTATCTGCATAACCTTGAGTACGCATTGGATTAGGATAACGTAGTGATGTAGTTGAATTCTTGATGTCTTGACGAATCATTTTATGAAAATTTCCTCTTTTACAGCATTCGAAATTTGTACACTTTACATGGTCTATTAGTAGTTCCTTGGGAGTTGCATAAGGAAGTGAAATAGGGTTTTCTGGAAATGCCAAAGTTTTTAATGAGCTGTAAGCTTCTTTTCTGATGAATGTAACTGAATGAGCCACGATATTTACACTCTCAATATACTCCTTGGTCATAGTCCAGATTTCAAACCTTTTCATATAATCCTCAAAAGCATCGAAATCTGAATGTATGTCCAACTGTTCCATCATAGGCTCCATCGCAAAGCCAATGCGATAATTAGAAGTCTTTGGATTATTGTACGAATTAGGAATCCAAGAAATAACTCATTTCAGACCAAGATGTACTAGGTGAGCACAAATAAATCTACTGTATTTAGAATTCGAAATCAGATAGTCATTAAGTACAAAGGAATCATTAGTTCATAAAAACCCCACATATCTTCCTGTTTAAAAACATGAGTAACTCAACGTTGTAACTTAGACTTAGAGTAAGAAAGGGATAATACTATCTAGCTTCACTAAAGTTTATGTAATGGACGACAAAATCTTGAGACGCAATCTGATTTAGGAGCAGGTTTGCTATATCATTTAGCTTGAACATAATCTAAAATTATGTTTTCAGTTGTATAATAGATATTTTCGTTAATTTCAAACGTTTTCAGAATCAAGTATTACCAATTTTCACTTGGTTAATAATAAAATACACGTTATCTGTTAATGAACTTTAAATTCTTGGAAAATACCTGAGGCGCTGTCTTAATTTTAATTGGTTTGTTCAAGGTCATCAGTATATTATACTTTTGACTAATTTGCTCTTCTCAGCGATGTAGCCCTTGTAGAATCGTCTATTTGTCACATCCTTGTAATTTTTCTAAAGAATCACTACCTTTATAACGTAACCTTTGAAAAACTCTAACACGTCAATAGTCATCTCCAAAGTAATCACCAGACTGAATCAGCCAAGTTTTCAAGGCAAGCCAGCCTTGAAATTTTCATCCGGCAGATGGTCAGAGATTTTCAGTATTTTGTTCCATGGAATCCTCTCTATGGACATTACCCAAGTCATTATACTTACTGTCATACAACATTTTTAAGTCAGTCAAAACGTCATGAATAATAGAACATCCACATCACTGGTCCTATGAAATGATCCCGTTTAGAGCCCGGGACCCAATAGCATCCACCACAAGCGTTTAAACAAACCAAACTGTAGTGTCCTGTCTCTTAAATGTTCTGGAATCAATTATGTTTTAAAAACATTACATCCGTCAGAATTCCTATAGCAACATTCTGAAAATAAGAAGGACCTCTACCTATTAAATTCTCTTATTGCCCTAGATACTGTTTAGTATGAGGATCAGCGGAGCTGACAGGTAACCAAGTGGCAGGCCCTACTGATCAGGACTGTCTAATGAAAATAGCATGAAAACAACTGCTTAAGAAATTGTCCATCTGCAGGCTTCCTCTGGGACCAGTTAGCTTAATCCGAACAACATCAAAATATCCAGGATATGACTTTTATCACTCAACTTGGTTTCGATACCTCTTCTAATCTGAGTAATAAAACTATGGCTAAAGCCTTACATGAATTAAGTTGGCTAAAGAGTGAACTATGAACACCACTGCTAAACATTTAACAACGTTAACTGGTTCATATGTACATCATAAAATATTCACCCCATAGTTCGGTTTGTGATATTGATTTCCAGTTAGTTTTTTTCTACCAAGACGTATAAGAAATGAACTCTTACTCAAATAATGAACAAGGAAACGAGCCAGTTCGTTTGTGTAAGTCTACAGATCACAAAATACAGTATTCTCCAAAGCTAACCAAATGCGATATTATTTGAAGCCTTCATTTAGAATATATTGGTTTCTTTATACACCTACAAATAGATAAATTTGCTACGCAAGAGTTGAAGAGTGTACTAATTGCTATCAGTTTTTAAAGCACACAAACTATTGAAAAAAACAAGATATTTACTAACTCTAAAAAACTGTTCGCGTCATTCAGTTTTCTTTCCAAAATAACATTGAAAGTGCATGATGATGATACATTCATCTTATAACTTATGATATGAGCTATCTAAATCAAATACTTCATTTGAAGAATGTTTTTTTTTCTCACTTGTATTTATAATGTCAAGCACCTGATCTAACAAATACAATAATCGACACAAAAATTAATCCTCGAAATTAAATGAAACTAAAAACACCGCATTCAATAACTTCAGCTAAACTATGAAGTCAAGGAATTTTAAATGGAATCAGTCTTCATAGTTTAGAAAACTAAGTAAAAAATATGAATAAGTATTTGTGGTGGCTCCCAAACAAAAAGAGCTTACACAAAATATATTGATACACTAGGTTAATAGTGATATACCAAAAAAAAACTAATAGTAATGAAACCTAGATGTCTGTCCGTTAGTAAAAACCAAAGGTAACAAAATACCGTTAGCAATACAAAAGGTATATTAAACAAACAGACACTAACAGTTACTATAGAATGAATGTTACTTGTGAACTGCCTCGTGAGAACAACGACCACAAACTGAGTTCACTTGATTGACAGGTGTTCCTCTGCAAGTGAATGCACCAATAACGTAATGAGGAAGACGGAGTCCAATATTATTATACAATAGTAATCCGCGCCAAAAGTCCAACGTTTAGTCGGAAGGCCTATAATGATGTTATAATACTATTATAGTCTTCAATCAAAACGGTGGCCAGTAAAACAGAAGAACAAACAGCGTAGATAGTGCTTTATATTTTAAACAACGCGGTAGTAGTATCGTATATCATTCATCGAAACAATTATCATCGTCTTTTTAACAAGGGATACAGCAAAACAACAGATATTGAATAAAAATGTGGTTACAAATAAAGTGTGATAAATTAGAGAAAAAATGTGGTTTTTATTTTTGTTGTTACAAAAGTCACTGAATTTATGTCACCATATATTAACTCAGTTCTGGTCACTTCAAAATAAGTTTCCTTGCAATTGGTGTCGGGTAGAGACAGTTATCTACCTCAGTACAATGGAAGATGATCGCGCAATTTCGTGGATTGGTTGATGTTAGACACTAACACCATTGGATGCCGGCTCAGTGGTGCAGTAGGTTAAGCGTTCGCACGCGAGACTGGACGCCCTGGATTCGAATCCCGCGAGCGGGATCGTGGATGCGCACTGCTGAGGAGTCCCACAATAGGACGAAACGGCCGTTCAGTGCTTCAAGATTTCCAAAGGTGGTCTAACATCAATCGGTTCATGATCTCAATCAAAAATTTAGTTTAAAACACAAATCCATATATAAAAACTAAGTAATTTTGTGACTGAAAACATTTCTATTTAAATCATGAAAATGGTCACACTTCAACTTTTATTTAAAATACTTTGATGAGTACATTTCGTAATGAGATTGTTATTTGAAATGAATCATAGGAATGCATTATATTCTACGAATAGATTTCATTATTTTCATTACATTATCTGTATATTTCACCAATAAATAACTACAAATGATTCATTGCTTGTTTGATTAATGTTAAATGTAATAATTTGATAATTATTTCTAGAGGTTAAGCGTTCATGTGCGTAACCGATAGGCCCTGGGTTTAAATCCCATGAAGTGGGATCGTGGATGCGCACTGTTAAGGATCCCCACAATAGGACGGAATGGCCTTCCAGTGCCTCTAGGTTTTCCATGGTGGTCTAGCTTCAATTGACTCATGAATTCAACTATTAAATTACTAAAATCTCCACAAAACCCCTCTCTGATTGTGATAATCATATGCTCACTAGTGACTGGCTTCAAGGGGTATTTCCTGAAGTTCTAGTGAGAAGCAGTGACCACAGGAGTTCAACTGGGTCTGTTGTGAGATAGTAACTCACTAAAGACAATGGTAGATGTGTCACTCAATTTCGTGGATTAGTTGCAGTTAGACATTAACAATGTTGGATGCTGGTTGGTTCAGTGGTCTAGTTTTTGAGCCCTCGCGTGCAAGACCGATAGGTCCTGGGTTGGAATCTCGCTAGGCGTGATTGTGGACGCGAACTTCTGATGAGTTCCACACTAGGACGAGACGGTCATCTAGTGCTTCCAGGTTTTCCATGGTGATTCAACTTCAATCGACTTATGAATTTAACTATAAAATTATGTATCTATTCATCATTTAATGTAATTTCTATATCTAGTAGAAAAAATTAATCAATTACTTAAAGTTACATAATTCAACTTAAATTACAATCTGATTGTATACAATATATGTGCATAAATTCGTTTTTATGAATGGACTAATCACATTCTAAACAGTTACTAACCAAACATCATAATGTAATATATGCAATCATAACAAAATTTATTTAAGCATTCAGGAATGAATCAAAAGCTAATTGAGAAATCTTCTATTATCCAATGACTGTAGAATCTCTTACCCCCCCCCACCGCCCAAAAAAACAAAAATGTAACGATGAAATTAAACAACAATCACATAGAAATAAACTGGTTATTTCATGATTTGTTGATTTGGTAAATTGTGGTAACTTATCGATCTAAACAAAGTTTAGTTGTAGTTATGAGTAAAAATTTACTATTTTCTTTCAATGTTGTTACCTTTAGTCAAAATAATAAATGAAATTAAACTTGAATTATTTTTGTTGTTGATTGTAATTGTGATACGTAGTAACATATTAATCTACGAATAGTTTTATTATATTAAGTGCTTATTTTTAAAGGTAAATATTAAATCAATATTTTTGTTCTGAAACTGTTGGTAATCGTTCATTTATAAGTTTATAAGTTTAAAGTATCGTTACAACTTTGTTGACATAGGGGATTTGTTTGATATCAAGAATACATTGAGAAAGAGAGAAGATTGCTTAGTCCATGTCATTTCGTCTCTTTCTGATGTTAGTTAGTATTGATTCCGAGAAGATATGAATCTTTGACTAACTATTCATGTTTGAGTAAAGTATAGACACTATTCAATAGCTGCATGTTATATTATTTCTTAAGATTGATTCGAATCAGTTACTTTAAAAATATATATATAACTGTTGGAATGTAGATTTCAATTCTTAACTGTACATAACGATATTTTGTGAGCCCTGAGTTCTGTAGTTGAAATGGATCTAAGATTAAGAAACACTGTACATTAGGATGAAGTGTTTATAAGTATTTCGCAAACATCTCAAACTCTACATATCCTGCTCATATTTTTATTTCGAAATCACGTATTTAAATTTCAAATTGTTAATTTATTCAATATTTACATTAACGTTCCGCGTTGATCGAGTGCGAAAATGGACTATCAGTGACTACAAAATGTTCCGGATGTTGTTGAATTACATTGAAATCATGAACCGACCAGTGATAGATCATTTGTGAAAACCTGGAGACACTGGATGGTTGTTTCATCCTAGTATAGAACTCTTTAGCAGTGCTCATCCATGACTCCGCACGTCGAGCTTGAACCCGGGACGCCTAACCAGTAAACCACTTATCCAGCATCCAGCGGTGTTAATATCTAACTTCAACCGATTCATGAATTCGACTGTTAAAATCACTAAAGTCTCCACAAATCCCAATTCTGATTATATTTTACAATAAATTAGTTTGTATGAAATATTTGAATATCAAGTTTAAATAACAAAATGCTTTACAGGTAGAAAACATTCAACGACTGAAATGTTCCCCAAAAGAGATCTATCTAATTTACGAAAGAATTTTATTTTATTCTTCAGCCTATCAAATCATTATTTGTTTTCGATTTATTAAAGAATAATAGTGTATACTTATAAATTGCTTGAATAAAAGTGGTACTTCAAAATGACTATTATTTTATAAGTTCAGCTGTCGATCATACATAATTAAAAGCAAAATCTTTATGTAAATGTAAAATGTATATTTAGGATAGAAAGCTTAGTGATTTTATTACTGATTAGAAAATTTCATCATCATCATCATCATCATCATCATCATCATCATCATCATCATCATCATCATCATCATCATCATCATCATCATCATCATCATCATCATCATCATCATCATCATCATCATCATCATCATCATCATCATCATCATCATCATCATCATCATCATCATCATCATCATCATCATCATCATCATCATCATCATCATCATCATCATCATCATCATCATCATCATCATCATCATCATCATCATCATCATCATCATCATCATCATCATCATCATCATCATCATCATCATCATCATCATCATCATCATCATCATCATCATCATCATCATCATCATCATCATCATCATCATCATCATCATCATCATCATCATCATCATCATCATCATCATCATCATCATCATCATCATCATCATCATCATCATCATCATCATCATCATCATCATCATCATCATCATCATCATCATCATCATCATCATCATCATCATCATCATCATCATCATCATCATCATCATCATCATCATCATCATCATCATCATCATCATCATCATCATCATCATCATCATCATCATCATCATCATCATCATCATCATCATCATCATCATCATCATCATCATCATCATCATCATCATCATCATCATCATCATCATCATCATCATCATCATCATCATCATCATCATCATCATCATCATCATCATCATCATCATCATCATCATCATCATCATCATCATCATCATCATCATCATCATCATCATCATCATCATCATCATCATCATCATCATCATCATCATCATCATCATCATCATCATCATCATCATCATCATCATCATCATCATCATCATCATCATCATCATCATCATCATCATCATCATCATCATCATCATCATCATCATCATCATCATCATCATCATCATCATCATCATCATCATCATCATCATCATCATCATCATCATCATCATCATCATCATCATCATCATCATCATCATCATCATCATCATCATCATCATCATCATCATCATCATCATCATCATCATCATCATCATCATCATCATCATCATCATCATATTAATGAGTTATCTATTATTTATGGTGGGTATCTGACAGGCACTGCTAGTTTGTATATATATATTTATATATATATATATATATATATATATATATATATATATATATATATATATTTATATCATGTCATATGTCATGTTTGCTTAAATTAGTAATGTGAAGTCTTGGAAGTCAACGTGTCTAAGAATAAATACAGTAACCGAATAAGTTAAAATAGAAAATTATTTTAAGTAACGTTGATAAATACAGTTACATATTTGATAAACGTTTAGAAATCTAATTTCAATAAACTGAGTTTTCATTTTAAATAAATATTCTATCCACAATGTCTTGGATTTCTACCCTATATGTTCAGTGTTGGAGAATTTCAAACTAGTGTAAAATCCAATAGCTTTCTAGATAAAGTTTATTTGTAATGAAAGTTGCATAGAAACCATATCATACAAATGACAAACCGTTAAGTGATAACCTATTAATTATTCATCCATTCCTTTAAGTTCCGGACGTATTCCATCGATGAGAATGAAATTCGATCACAAGTATAAATGACTAGACATCGTGTTGAATTTTCTATTGGTTGTAGGTAGTTAATCAGGACTGAAATGATTAGACAAACATAACAATAGTCACTACCCAGTGATCAATCATTTGTAAGCATCTTAATCCCACAGGAGGTACATTAAGCTCCAAGTAGCTCAGTAAGAAGGTCTGAAATTGTCAAGCTGAGTGATCCGGGTTCATTTGCTTTAGGACTTTAAGTAACCTATTTTTATAAATACAAAATAGCCCGAAACATAGGTGTTACGTTCATGCCACCTACTTCAACCAAACAATAATACAAAAATATCAGTTAATTATCTTTTTACATTTATTTTACCGAACTCTATTTTCCTATAGGTAAACGTTGTTCATTATGACAAATTTATCAACAATATCTTAGATCATGATAGCCTTTCTTGATCATATCCAACTGTTACATAATTTGTACAATGTAATTATTTTCAAAAGACTGATATTTTTCAGTTCTTAATGATTCAGTCACTAAACTTCTGTTAAAAGGCATAATGAAAAGTAAATCTTGATTACGCAATGCAAAAGTATTTATATGAACAATCTAATGATAATTGTATTTCAGTGTTTATTTACTTTGCTGTTACATAAATATTAATTCAGCTTATTCTAAGTTTCCATATTAAATTCTATACATAATCTACGAACGAGATTACATAATTAGAAGATTGTTTATTGTTGAAAACTTATTACTTGAAAGAGGAATCCTTTGGAGCGATGTGTCCACAGTTTATTAAATGCTCCTATATAGAACTAGTAATTGTTTTACAGCCACCTCTTAAAAGCTAAGCCGGATAGTGTTCTGAGATGCGTTTGGAAAATGATCGCTTTGTGCGGCCTATGTAATGCGCCCCACATGAGCAAGTAAATTTATAGATACACATTGATGTGGCCCAAAGCAGAAGTTTATCCTTAACACATCCAAGAATGGTAGGCCGCACAAACCGATCATTTTCCAAATGCATCTCAGAACACTATCGGGCTTGGCTTTTAAAAGGTGAATGTAAAACATTTACTTATTACTTGATTATATTATGAATTTTCTCGTTATTTAGCACTTAATATACTCAAAAACTAACTGGGAAATAGAAGTTTATTACACACATTTAACAACAATACAGAATCTAAAATTGATTGATAACTTAATGGTCAGTACTGTCATATTTGTCTAATACTTTAGTACTAATCAAATTTTATCGATTCAGTTGCAATAAAACCACTCATGTGAATAACTTGATATCATATCCCTTTATGTCTAAATCATGAATTATTGGATTTAAGAAGCTTCTTGCTGGTCATCTTCAGTCATCTAACATAAACGGTCTTTTCTCATTGACTTGTTTACAATCGAAATTGTATACAATCAATTAGATGATATGATGTATTTGACAACGATGGTGATTAAGTAATTACTCAGAGAATATATTATCTTCAGCTCATGAATCAATCACATTTTTCATAATTAACCAGTACATATATTGACAAGCTTGTTGCTATGTCAACATTTACATAATTAAAAAGAAAAAGAACAAACTCAGAAATTCATATTTACGTAGTTATTTATTCATTATGCATAGATGATGTCAAATAAAACAAAAAAATTATGTGAAATTGTTAATGATTATTGCCTATTCTTTATCAATTTTATTCATTCATATTTGAGTAGTAAGTTGTTCTATCTGTCATTACGTTACTTTGTGTACCTTTAGAAAAAAAATTAAAAACAAAACAAAACAACGTCAACTGTTAATTTTAGTAAGTTACAAAATCAATAATTAAAGTAACTAATAACATTATATTTCACATTATGGATTAATATTGGGTAGGAACCCATTGAAAACTGAGAAACAATAGGTAAGTGTTTCATTCTAATATAGAACTTCCCAACATTGTTCATATGTATATATACAACATCCATGGTCGAACCCATGACCTTTATTAATAATTTATGTGTGTATATATCTCGCCTTATCAGTTAAATATGCCATTCAGAAAAAAATCTTGTTTAATAGTTTGTTGAGTTAATTTAGTAAAGAGAAGCTAGAATGAGAATAAGTTTACCGATGACTAACTTGGTTGTAATACTGGAAATTCAAAAAATTAGGCTTTTTAATATGTTTGAAATTGTTCATTAATACACGTATATAACTATTCACCGAAGAATGTCATCAATGTTCATCATCATTGATGATGAATAACTATTTCACTAATTACTTAGTTAATTTCATGAATCCTAGTTTTCCTACTGTTATGGTGTGTGCTACTTATATTGACTATAAGTAGTATATGATGTTAGTCGTGAACAGAAGGTCTGGCATCAGAGAGACAAGAGGATCGAACAGTAAAGAATGGAAACAAAAAGCAATTTGTATGAAAATACAAGAACAATGAAGTCGGAGTCATTATGAGACAAGTGATGGACATTTTGCAAATTACATATTTACTATTTGATTGTTAGATTTTACTAACAAGTCCTGTAATTTTGTGTTAACTACATTCTATTGTCCCGACTGGTGTTCTTGTTCACTTCACTGTTACTCTGAGAAATTCATGTCAATGTCAGTTTTCAAATGTATTTCGTTTAAGCATTATATAATTTTACATGATAAATCTACAGTACTGATTTGTAGTAAATTCATGTCTTTTTTCTGACATAGAAAACTGAAGATATTTAAGTAAGACTACAATTTATGGACGAACCATTCAGATTTAGGATAACAGGTCTTGGATTTTAGGTACGAAATTCACGCATTCATTTGGCTAAATATGAGTTTTAGCATTTTACCTGATGTCAGTTCGTGATGAAAAACCTCAAATCTAATTCTTAACCTTAACCATCAACTGTGAATCATAATCCTTATTTTTCGAACTACTTTATAAACCCTCATTTAGCCCTAGTTAGTAGGTAGACACTCTCATGGTCACTTTGATGTCGCTCAAAGGTCGTCCATAAATTATAGTCTCACCGATACTTGTTTTCATTTAAAACTTAAAGTGTTACAAATTGAATTGATTGTTTTGAGAGATATTTTTCAAGTTTTCATGTGGAGCATTATAATTCAAGATCAGAGTCTATTTGAAACTGTTGAAATCATGTAGTAATACAGTTTGATCATTTCATTATACACAGTATTTTGATATAGTAGTTTAATTGATAAAGATTTGTATTTGTCATAAACAACCAGGTAGGTTTGTAATTATTGATAACATTTTCGTGATCAAAGAATCATTTTATCACTGAAGAATAATTTTGTTTACATCATCATAGATTTTGATCATGAGATAGTTTCATGTCATAACATCAGCTAACAAAACATACTACAGTTGAATTATTCTATTATCATGAAAGCAAGATTCGTGATTGTTATTTGCAAAGATAGGTGTACACTTTAAATTTTATTCATATCTATGAAATAGTGTATTACTACAGTGTTATATATGCGTCTGTTAATAGTTATACTTGAAAACGAGGTATCGCTACAATTTCCAAGACTCAAAAGTAAGAATAAGGAAGACTGATACAAGTGAAGATTTATTTTACCTCTAAAACATGATGATCACTCTATTCAAATATGCACTCATACACATATTGATTTTTGCACCTATTAGATTATTGATTAGTAAAAAGTCACACATAGGAATTCATGGCAAAATCGTATGTTGTATTTCATGCCGAATATAATTAACGTTAATTTAATACAGGACTATCGTATCTTGAATGCTTACATCACACTGAAGTAAATCAATATTATGCTGAACAAAATAGCACACTGAAAATAAAGCAAATTCTACACCAAATGATCATCATATTGAATTGAAGAATGAAACTAATGTTGGACATGAATCGTAATGAGTTAAAAATGTCATTTTGCTTTTTGATACCGTCGCATCACACAGAAGCATTGGTTAGCATAAACTAAGGTGTATTGTTATTCGATCTATCGATTGTTTCCAGATTTTGTTGCACAGTAAAAAAGATACAATTCTTATGAAGATAAAGTTTTTATGTTAAAAAAGGACATAGTCACGTAGTGCTATGCATTGGCCAATCAGGTGACAATCAACCAGTCTAATATGGAGGTCCACAGTTAAAGCAATCTTTGAAATAACATTACAACTGTTCAGTCGTTATTTTATTTATTTATTTGTTGAGTTATCCATTGAACTACATGTGGGTAAGTTAAATCTTTCTCACATGCCAAGTTCAATGAAAGTAATTATTTTCTTTATCTGTGCCTTATTTTACCACCTTGTTTAGATATATTTATCAGTAAGGGCTTGTGGAGATTGTTGAGCTTAGAATGATATCATGAATGAATCAATACTGAGTCACTATTGAAAACCTGGAAGCAGTGTTTGACGGTCGTCTCACCTTAGTATGAGACAACCCACTAGTACACACCCATGATCTCGCACACGGGATTCTAATCCGTCTCATGTGCGAACGCCTAATCTCTAGACTACTGAGCCGATCGGCATCCAACGGTGTTAATCTCCAACTTCAACTAATCCACGATATTGCGCCACCGTCCTCTATTGTCTTCAGCCAGTAACTGCCTCACAACAGACATGAATGAACTCCACTGGTCATGACTTCTCACTAGAACTGCAAGAAATCCATGTTGAAGCCAATCACTAGTGAGCACCTACTAATTATCAGCAAGGGATTGTGGAGATTGCTGAGCTTAGACTGATATCATGAGTGTTGACCTAACGTTGAACCATTCATAATATCAATCTAAGATTAGATACATCTTTGATTTCTTTTTTATTATAATTAATATCTATACTTTCTTGTCTACTTTTAAATTATTTATATACACAAATTTTTGTCTAGCTACATAATAACTTCAAATTAAGTTCTAACGGCAGTACTCTACTTGCTTAACAAAATGTTTTATCCTTGTTATTATTAATATTATTATTATCTAACAGTTATATATAATATATAAAAATATTGAGCTGATGTAGTTGGATAACTGTTAGATAATATTAATGTGCCTCCAAATGCCCTGGTACGGCCGAGAGTGGGGCGAGTCCTCTCTCCCTCTTCAAATGCTCTCACATGGCCACGCGTATAGAGCCTCTGCCAGGGAAGTCATACTCACTGCCTTCTCTCACCGGGTTGTTGTTTACGAAATTGAGAGGACGAAAAGCGAATGTTCGGCGCTTTAGCCGGGTTGGTGGACATGGAGAGTTCACGTAGGGGAGTTGGAAAATCCTGATTCCAAACCAATGGTGCACATGGACTCCAGTACCCTGAGGTAACAAATGGCGTATGAACCAATGGTTGGTCACCGGCTACCATGGGACTGCATCTCCTTACGATGCTTCGCTGCCTTCTGGATCAGACCTTCAAGTTGAAGGCTCCAGGTGTGGCCCCTAAGAAAACCACCTGCTTCGGTTTGGGCATCCAGGCAGTATCACAGCCCTTACACAAATCTAATAAGTTTTGTGTGGTGCATATCTATCTACTTCCCCCTTGTACCAGTATTGATGTGTTCAAATAAGTAATATAAAAATGTAAACATGTTACTTATCATAAATGATAATATTACTTACTATCAACATATGCTGTAGTTTGAACATAAGTCTCTGTAACAGTATGTAATATATCTCTTGAATTATTTATATCTAATTTATAATCTAATAATTCACTTGCTTTTTCAATTTTACGTTGTTTACGTTGATATTTTAATGCTTCATTAGATCCATGTTCAATTAATTCATCTAAAAAATTATCAATATTTATTGCAGATATATTTCTATTTACATATTTTCTACATAATGGACATGTATTACGTATTTTAAACCAATAATATAAACATTCACGACAAAATTGATGACCACATGATAATAAACGAGTTCGAACTAATAGACCACGACATATAGAACATAGAAATGATTCTTTAATTAAATTATCTAATAATTGATTATTAGTTAATTGTATATCATCTAAATCAATAAAGGTGAGATTTTTATAAGTTTCAATTTGATTAAATATTTCATTATGTTGAATTAATTTATCATTAGATTGACATGTATATGATTGAGCATCAACTAAACAACTTGATAATATTTCATTCACTTGAGTTGAACGATTTATAGATGATAATTTCATATTAATTGATGATTGTATCATCATAATAAAATAATAATAATAATAATAATAATAATAATAATGAAAATTTAATTAATTTAGTTTCTATGTTAGTTTTCTACATATTTATATACTGGGTAGAACAAATGTATCTATTTAGTTGTGGTCATATGATTTGAAATGTGACTTTATATTGATTTGGATATAAATGGAAAAGAAATGGTATGTGTTAGTGATTGTATTAGTAATAAGACTCCATAGCCTATACTATTTTTTAATTCATTAAAGTTTTTAAAAAAAACTTGATATGAATAAAATGTACTTTGTGCTTAATTGTATTTCAATAGGTGAGAGTATATTTGTAGAAAAATTGTTTGAAATAATTAATTCGCTCTCATTGAAATTAACGTCGTATGTCATTTTGGTCAATAATAATTATCTCTTGAAGGTATTGGTTACTTTTACTTATTTACTTACGCCTGTTATTCCTTGTAGAGGAGGATGGGATACCTACAAGCATTCTACTTCTAATTTTGTCCTGAGAAATTCTTTTCAGATGTTAATCAACCTTTTCATGTCTGCTTCCGATTTTCGACGTAGTGTATTGTTCGGCCTTCCTCTTTTTCGTTTCCCTTTAGGATTACAAGTTAGGGCTTGCCCCGTGATGCAGTTTGATGGTTTCCGTCTTTTCCTTATCTCTTTTTCACCTAGAAGTTGATTTGTTTCCTCATACAGTTGGATGTTGCTGATGATATCTGGTCAACGGAGATTTTAGTAATTTTTATAATTGAATTCATGAGTTAATTGAATCTAGATCATCATGAAAAACCTGGAAGCACTGAACAGCCATTTTGTCGTAGTAGGGGACTCCTCAGCAATGCACATGAACGATTCCGCCCAGCGAGATTCGTGGGATTCGTTTCATGAATTCAACTATTAAATTACTAAAATCTCCACAAAACCCCTCTTTGATTATAATCATTATGTACTCATTAGTGGGATTTCCTGCAGTTCTAGTGAGGAGCAGTGACCAGTGGAGTTTAACTGGGTCTGTTGTAAGATAGTAACTCACTGAAGACAATGGTAGACGTATCGCTCAATTTCGTGGATTAATTGAAGTTAGACACTAGCACCGTTGGATGCCGGTCGGCTCAATGGTTTAGAGGTTAGGCGTTCGCGGGAGAGACTGATAGATCCTGAGTTGGAATCTCGCGAGGCGGGATCATGGATGCGCACTGCTGGAGAGTCCCACAATAAAACGAAACGGCCATCCAGTGCTTTCATGTTTTCCATGGTGGTCTGGCTTTAATTGACTAATGAATTCAACTATAGAATAACAACCGTTAGTTAAATGTGAATCATGTAAAAACTTCACGATGTGAAAATAAATGACTGAACGAATTATCTGTGTATGTATGCGTAAGTTTGAGTCATTGGTAGTTGATATTAGTGTTAATAATATTAAATAGATGACAATTTTTATGGCTTAAAATTAATCTAGTCATTATCTTCATATTTGTATAAGTTTGTACTAATATATAGGCATGTATGAAACATGTGTCATGGATTCCATTGCTAACCGCCATCTATGTATGAAATTTATTTCAGCTTCTTATCAACCACTATACTTGCAAAATATCATTGACATCTAGTGTTAATATTTCATCCTAATGATCTTTCGTTTGATGTTAATTTCTCAGTAAGAACTCTCCATATATTATCATATTTATTCTTCATAACAATCATACTTATAATACTTAATTTATTTAATACCATTTATTTGATTGCAACAGAGAATTCTCGGCATAAACCATTCAAAATCGTGAACAGAATTATCGTTTAATGTTTATTCAACTAGTTAATATTCAAAAGGTATTACAATAAACTGTTTCCATAGTGATTATGTGTTATTGGTCTATATAAGTAAACTACTTCAATCTATTCTGGTATTAAACTATTTCACTCATAACGTACGCTTGATATTTGAAATAATTTTAAAAAAATACAGGTCTTCTTATCTTGTTAAAATGTCGACTAGAAGGGGAAATACACAAAATACTGCGGTCTTTATGCCTTTATGTTTTTAGATATCAGTCACTGAGAAAAAGTGTTTAGTTTGTCATAAAAGCCTGTGAGCATATAATAAACTTAAGATATGTAATTAACAAATATAGGGGATTTTCGTAGACTGTTCAATGTTCATAGCTTACATCACTGACTGATTTTAGACAACCATTGTTAACCAGGAAACATTGAACAGTTATTTCGTTCTAGTACGAGATTACTCGGTAGTGTGCATCTACGACCACAACGGTTTAATAGTCTAGAAGTTGAGAGTTTATTTTGAAACCGAAAGCCCTGGGTTCGAACATACACCATTGGAGTATCCTAAAACAGGACAAAACAAATGTTAACCGTTTACCAGTTTTCAAATAGCTGTCTCATTAATATCAGTTTATGATATAAACTATAACTTAACTGATAGTTGGTTAGTTCTAAAATTGAAGTACAATTCTCGCAGTTAGAAAATAAATTGTACAGAGTCTTGAATAGACCTTCGAAATTCATTGTATTCCAAAGATCTAAGTTCTAAGCATTATTTATAATAGAACATTTTATTAGGTTTAGCGTTACTCAACTCTTATTCGTATTATTTCAAACTGATTCAGTTATATAATTAAAAAATGACAATATTATTTCTTTTTTTAATTACGTAACTACTTTCTCACTATCTTGACGAAGTCAGAAACGAAGAATATGATCTACCACAAAGTGTATTTAAAGGAGTAACAAACAAACAAACAAGCACAGTTTACACCTAAAATAGAAATTCATTGATACATTCATATAGTTGAATACCAAGGTAGGTAGGAAAAAATAATTTGTTTTTGAAATATTTTTTTCTAACAAATCATTGTATTAAGTGTGACAACTGTATTTTCTTTTGTCAGTGGTCACTGTCACTTGGTTTACTGTGACACACGCAGTTTGTTTTCCTGGTAACTTAATCTATCATTGTAATATTGTGAAAACAATATTTTGGCTGTTAAATTACATCACATGTCACAACTAATTATTTCACGTAATAGTAATAATAATAATAATAAGTGTTAATATTATTATGTGGATTTACTACTGTAATCAATGTAGTTATCGTTTCAGCTTATAAAAAGAACACAAGAACAAGATGATAGTGGGATTTTATTTATTTTGTTGATTTTCTTTCAACCTATTACAGCCTGAAATATGAATTGAATCTCGAATTATTATTATTTCAAATCAGCATGAACATATATTAAACATGTTTCTAGGAGTGTACTGACTGTAAATGTAGATGATATTGATGCAAAATAAATTAAAGTAACTGTTATAAAAGAATTGACACACACAAAAAAAACATTGGTGGAGTTAGCTAGTTGTAGTATTGCAATGGACTCTACTCATAGGATTGCTTATAAGTAGTATACAGTAGAGCGTTGTATATGAGTTGTTACAGTCAACACCTGGAGACAGGTGTCTCAAGAAGCCAGCCAGAACACAGTGAAGTTCCAAATACTTATGAGGCTAGAAGAAAAGCTATAGAAGGCAGTCTACAACTAGCTCAAGCTGCAAAATACACAATAGATGCAAATGAAAGATTGAAGACTAAGTGTATATAATTAATAAATAATATGTGTTTCCCTTCTAATTTAATCTGATTATTCCGTCTGGTCTTGGCTTGTTCGAACATTACGATATCATTATATCAGATCAACCGAAGTTTATATATTGAAATAGAATCAGCATTAGGGGATCATAATTTCCGATATTTAGCAAATAAATAATTTCACGGATTGAAAACATGAGTCAGTTGAAACTAGACCACCATGGAAAACCTGAAAGCACTGAACGGCCGTTTCGTCCTGGTATGGGACTCCTAACCAGCGCTCATACATGGCCCCGCGCCACGCGGGACTCGAACCCGGGGCCTACTGGCTTTGCGCGCGAGCACCTACCCACTAGACCACTGAGCCGACATACAACGGTGTTAATGTTTAACTTCAACCAATCCACGAAGTTGCGCCACCGTATACCATTGTCTTCAGTGAGCTGATGTCTCACAACAGACCTGATTGAACTCCACTGGTAACGGCCTCCCACTAGAACTCCAGGAATATCTTTTGGAGTCAGTCACTAGTGAGCAGATGATTATTATCAGGAGGGGTTTGTGGAGATTTTAGAAATTTCACAGAGCGAAACCAGTAGGTCCGGGGTTCGAGTCCCGCGGGGTGCGGGATCGTGGATGTGTACTGCTGAGGAGTCCCATAATAGGACGAAACGGCCATCCAGTGCTTCCAGGTTTTCCATGGTGGTCTAGCTTCAACTGACTCATGATTTCAATCTGTGAAATTTCATGTCAAAATCTTTTTTTGAATATTCATCTAAAATCTTCTTCAGTTTTCTACAAGCTTTGCTCATTTTACTATTTCATTGTTGTTAAGCTAGGATAAGAAAGCAAGTTCATGTTTGCTCTAATTCGACATTATATATTCTGACGTTAGTTCCATTCCCTGAATGACACTGACATTACTTTTATTCTCAGTGTAACATTTCAACCAGCGTGTTATTCTTTTTATATTTTCCAGTCTGACATTATTTCTGGACAATGTATTTGTATCAACTAAGTGTCAACACTATTCAGTATGACAGGTGTACATTTTCAGCCAGAGTGAGATTTATATTCGTTGTATTATTCTGTTTAAATTTCGTGCGTATTTTACAGAAATTGTGTTTTTTAATTTATATAACATAGAAACCGTTTTTGTGTTTTTGCTCCGGGTCATGGAAACTGTAGTGATTCTCGTTTCCAAGTTTGAGCAGTAAGAAGGGGGGATACAACAGACCCGACACGTACAAAACAAAGACGACACCAGAGATAATAATTGTAAATATCAACTTGGGATAAAGGTATATCTACTTGATTATTCTCTAATAGATTAAAATGCATGTGTTAAACTCAATGTTGATTTATTATCTGAGTATACCCAACAAATTAGGGACAAATG